GCTTACTGTGCGCGAGTGAAGCAGGCGGTACGTACTGCGTGCGTAGAAACCGAAAACGATGATGATGATGATGATGATGATGATGATGATGATGATGAATGTGGTGATGATGATGATGATGCATGGCGGTGATAGCGGGTGGATGATAATGATATGCATGATGATATTGACTGATGATCGATGATGATGCATGATGGTGAGATGATGATGATGATGCGTGACGATGAATTGATAGATGATGATGTATGATGATGATGCATGGACATGATGATGATGATGATGATGATGCAATGATGATGATGATCGGCTGATAATGATGATGATGATGCGTGATGTACTGATTTTATTGATGATGCATGATGATCGATCGACGATTCATGCCGTTGCAATTCGTGCGGTGAACATTCGTATTGTCGGTTTCGCCAGCCTCCGTCCTTTATCTACCGAAATGTCGATCTCTACATTTGCCGAAAACCAAATCTAAGAAAGACCACGATTGCAGCATCTTTGTTAATAATTAAATTTTGCCCCGCATGAATAATGTAACAGGGTAAATTGAATTATAGTCAATTATTACACGCAATCGTGCTAGACGCTAACCGCAAAGGCAATTACCCCGCGGAACCTGAATCCGTCGTAACTGAGTTAACCTTAGAGCTTCAGCGCACGATTCAAACGTGTCTGCCCCTTGCCGAAAAGACTTCCGTCAGAATCTAGGTGCGAGCCGCGTTAATTCCGTCTATCCTTTTCCGACCGTAACCCTGATTGCTTCGCCGCATTACTGGAGACACAGACGAAGAAATGGAGCGATAGCCCCAGTACAGAGATGAGAGGAAGAGAACGGGAGGAGGGAACGACGAGACAGAAGAAGAAGAGAGAGATGGGCGTGAAAGAGAGGCGGGCGAGACGGGGATAGCGAGATACCAGACTAGAACAGCGAAGCGAAGCTAGACCGCCCACGCAGAGAGAGAAGAAGAGAGAGAGAGAGAGGAGAGCAAAACGCACGACAAGAAATGAGAGAGACGAGCCACGAGAGACGAGAGACGAGGAGAGAGAGATCGAGAGCGAAAGAGGATGATATAGAAGCTGAGTCAGGACAGGGGTGGCCAAAGCCCCAATTATACAAGCTAACAAATCGAATGATAAGTCGTCTGGTTCCTAAACTACACAAATATAATGGACTATGGTGAGAGGAGAACAAAGAGAGACATGCCCCGCGGGCACGCGACTGACGAGCAGAACGGAGCCGAGAAACGAGATGAGGCGAACGAGAGAGAAGCACAGTGCGAGCGAGAGGCAGCGGAAAAAGAGAGAGAGAGCCAGTCGCTGAGAAGGAGCGGAGAGAAGGGCCCGCAAAGAGAGAGAGAGAGAGAGAGAGAGAGAGAGAGAGAGAGAGACAGCAAGCAAAGGAGAGGAAAGTCGTTGCCCTGATAGCTTCTCGCGCGCTGCTAGAACTTTTCCCATGGTTGTGCAATCACTCACCCCTGAAGCATGCTCTTATTACAGTAATGTAATCAGTCGCTGTAGTAGGAAGCCCTATTAGACGCTAACCCGAATACGATGACCGTCCTATTATGTCACTAACTAACGCCTGCGAAATTCCCCTTTGATAAAACTACACGTGGAAGCTATGCTAGCGTCTCTGAATAACTGGCTGTACCCGATTGTATTATTTTCTATGATTGCATTACGATCATATAAGACTTCTACAATCGCTCTGACATAGATAAATTTGACATAATAAATAGATAAATTGACATAGATAAATTGGATATCTATGTCAATTCTACGTTTGATGTGTCGCATGTAATATCATGTTGTTTTGACCATATAACGGAAGTCCTCTGTGTGTGTGTCCACGTTGTCTGGTCATTTTTCTAGCGTCGTCCTCCTATCTTTACCCTCCTCGTTCTCTATGCGTCCTCCCTCATCCTTCACTTTCTCTCCGTTGTCCTCTGTCTCCCTTCTCCTTCGTCACGCCTGAATTAACACGTGGCAAACGTACTGCGTTAGAGTCGCATCACTGTGACAGCATATTGCAAGGATGTGATCGAGGGCGGATGATGACAAATGTCTTCCTCTTTCTTTGTCATCGTCTACCCCGGATGTTATGCAATTTGTGAAACTCGGACACGGACGCGTAGGTTTCGCAGACGAATTCCCGATAGGACATTTCCACTGAATTTCGGAAACCGTTAATGAGAAACCATGCAGCTGTGCCATTGCTAACTCGCTTCCTCGTGATTCGCCCATGGACACACACTGTCAGATGAGCAGTGTCGCTCTGCGGCGTGTGTGGGTGTGTGTGTGTGTGTGTGTGTGTGTGTGTGTGTGTGTGTGTGTGTGTGTGTGTGTGTGTGTGTGTGTGTGTGTGTGTGTGTGTGTGTGTGTGTGTGTGTGTGT